TCTTATCGATTGTATGATACGTTCTTTTTGAAGCGGGGATCAAAATTTTAAAAAAATTATTTGACATTTTCCTTTTTTTTTTTTTTTTAATGTCCACTTATCTCGAGTCTTCAGGCCTCAACTCAAGCAATTGCCTCAGCTACACAAACATCATATGATCAGACAAGCAGAAGAGGAAGCAAAGGGACTGGTGTTTTCATACCTCGTTCTTTGCATTATACCAGGAATAAGAGACAAGGAAGATACACAGCTAATTCTAGGATTAACTTCCAAAGAGATTCTGATAGTTCAAGGGGGCTTCGTCATGTTGCTAATTACACCAATAAAAATTCGATGTACGATCCATTTTACCGTATAAGATTTTGAAGAAAGGAAAAATTCTGAATTTACAGATTTATGTACAAAGAAAAATATTATGTTTGTTATGGAGAGGTTTCACCATAGGTTTGTCCCTCTCCTGTAATTCAATTGTAAGATTGTGTAGTGTAAATTTGTCATGATTACTCAATGCAGCAGATCTTATTTATTTTTTTCTTGAGAAATATGTGATCTACACACAAGTGCACGAACTCATACAAGTAGTAATAAAAGACGTAGTAATATTCATCTTTGCAGGTGGGTGGTTAGTCAATGGTTGATTCTACTCCACAGCTTCAAGGTTAGTATGGGGGTGGGGTGGGTAATAAAAGGAAATGTAATTTGATCAATAAATAAAAGGTGTTCAAAGACGTGTTGATTTCTTTTTCTTCTTCAATAATATACAATATTATATAGTTGAGTGCACCATCTAAGGCTTGGAGAGACGACACCGTGCATCATATATAAAATCAAAGCGAAAGGAAAATTGTTGAACAGAGTAAGGATCAATCACGAGAAAAAGCAAATAACGAGGTCAACCGTTATCACGGGTGTTATTAGAAAAAATTTTAATTCTAAATCCACAGCACCCCTGGGAGGCAATTTTACAAATTATGTTCTTCAAGAAAAAAGATATAAATAAATTACCCTCTAATGGTCATTTTAAGGGTTCTAATCCCTAAACTTTATTGCATATTTCAAAAGTTACTGAATGTAACAAAACTTAAAGCCTCTCTCTGCACTAATATGGGATTCACACTGAGGTTCACGCATTATCTAATTTCAAGAGTTCTTCAACCTGGTCCTAGGTATGATCATAAACCTCTTCAGTGCAATCATTAGGACCCATGTAGTCTTTGTGATCTTCTCCTTTACCATCAAAAGCAATGCTGAGCTAAGGACAGTCTTCAGTATTTGGGCTTGTAACCCTTTGAAAAAGCCGAGTATGCCTTCTTTTTTCCAAATGGCACGGACTGCCCCCAAAATTGTTTTTCGCGAGTTTGGTTGAGCTATATCCTCCTCGTCTTCGTCTGACTCAGCTGACTGAATCATCACCTTACACCTGTCCATGACGAAGATGTTAGCTAAATACCAGTATGAAAATATCAACATCATTATGAGCTACGTCTACTTTGTCACTATTGTTCTTCACTATAACGAAGAAGAAGAATACAAGGTGACCCCAAAATTCTCACACATCAAAAACCTGGCCTCCTAAAATCCTGTAAATATCATAGATCTGCAGTCATACGGTATCATTAAGCTTCACTCTGCTCAACAAGTTCGTCCTCTCTTTGAATGCAAGTCTTAAATGGATGAGAAATGTATAATAATAAAGATCTATTTATTAGATAAAAGAAAGAATGAATAGATATTTACCTTATTGCTGGATAAGTTACAAAGGTAGCAATGCATTTTGAGACTGCACCTAACATAAAAGCAGAAAACGCAGAAAGAGCTGCTCGAGACGATACGCCATCTCTATTTTTGCTCATGCTATCCTTCAATGATCTCTGCTTTAATTGATCAAAAGCTGTGTACTGCATGCCATTGTAATCTAGATTAGCATTTTATTTAATCAAAATTTTTGACCGTAAATGTATCCATAACTAATGCTAATCCATTTTGAACAAGACAGATTATAAAAAGGAAGAAAAACCACCAACCTGAATGGAAGGATTTATTGTAAGAAGAACAGAAATGCCTAGACCGTCAAATGCCTCGCTCAAAGTGTTTTCCGAGAGGGTTTCCCAAAGTCCTTTGGATTTCCCAAAAGTACTTGTCTGCATTTTTGAAGATGCTGTATCCAGAGGCTGAATTGATAAAACCAAAATGATACTAACAGAGAGTTCTTGGGTGACATGGTTCCAACGAAAGACATTATTAAGTGAACAGAATAGATATCAAAGTAACAAGAGCCACAAAAGGACTTGGAAGAAGTGCCATTTTCAAGAAATCCATGAATCAAGATCATGATGCATACGGAATCTTTTTATTTGTTATCAACTTGTAAAAACTTTCATTTGCATTTTACTTGGGATCTTCATAATAATTGTGTTTTCTGTTCTATTTTCATGTTTCCAATCATCAAGAAAATTGCAAAGAATTTTTTAAGCTATGTAACTCTTCAAAGCCAAGAAGGCAAGAACGTGAAGTTGTGAACTAAACTTGTGTTAAAGAACAGTGACAGTAACAGAGTACAGGCTAATGTGTTGCCATTGTGTCTTCACAGTAAATGCGAATCTAAGTTACAAGTGTTATGCAATTTTTCCTTTGGTTTACATCAAGCACGACTTTTCCACAACTTTTACCGAATCACATAATATTCCTTCAGCTACTCAGATTGCCATAAATGGTGGTTTGGTATGAATATGACCTCTCCTTTATTCTTAGAAATATGCTCTACAAATAATTTCTTATTTTCACTTATTTCCCCTTCTGTACTGTAAATGAACGGCAGTACAAACAAAGGCTTGAGCTCAGCTGTTCAATTTGAGCGGAGATTAATGCAAATTATCTTCTTCAAATTCCAACTACCTGAACTGACAAGTTCATGCACATGATACTGATTACCAAAAATATTAAAAACCAAAACTTCTATTGATGGATACTGCCATTTCATGATTTAAATCAGAGGATCAATGAAAAGGATGACTTGCCTGTGTCAATACAACCGTGCATGCACCAGCAGCAGCTGCTATAATCAAGTTAACTTTTGTTCCTATAGATTTAGATCCACTTTTCTTCAGGTAGAGTCTTTTGAAGAAGCTGTATTCATAGAAGTAGATAAATGATGAAATGAAAGATTGCAAATTCTTCGTCCCTAGTCCCTGGTACAGTGAAAGTACTTGACCTGTGGAAATTGCTTCCCACAGGACATCTGAGATTTTCCTGCATGCGAAGCAGAGCAATCAGTCAGCTTACCTTAGAAAAAATGGATCTTTATCATCATGATATGATTCAAGGGAGAACTGTTCTTTTCTAAACCCTGCCTAGCTTTTATTGGCAGTAAAGATCCTCAAAATTTCAGTAAAGAATAATTTTATCAGTTTAATCGCACAAGTCATGGACAATATTGGCCAGAGAAACTGGCAAAGACTGAGTAACAGACCGTGTGCCTATAAGCATTCGTGTGAAGTCAGGGAACAAGGGTATCAAATTCGAATAACTGGAGAAGCATAAGACAATTCCAACCAACATTTCAAGGATCTCAACTTGGACCTTCTAAAAAGCTCTTTTTTTACTTTTATGTTTCACATTCAATCTTAGTCATTCCTTGATTAGTTTTATCTAATTTCCATGCCCCAAGATAAAGATTCTCTTCAAAAGATGCTGGAAAATAAAACATGCGGTGAACAACTAAAGCATCATGAGGTAACCCAAAAATGAAAAAAAATCTAGTACATGTTCCATCACCAAAAGATCAAAAATCAGAACACACATAAAAAAGATATACTCCACCAGAAAAAAAAATAAAATAAAATTCATATAGACAAGTAGGAGATAATCAAGTTCTTATCAGAAAATCATAAATTCTTCTGGAATCTACGTGGCGTTAAGACTAGGGGTTCCGTCTTAAAAGCACTCTTGGGGTTCCATCTTAAAAAGCCACTTGAAGTTCCACCTTGAAAGGGCAACCTTAAGTTGTGTAGCCCAAGCCCTTAATATATTTATCTCATTATTTCAATGAGAGATTTGTCCTTAACATGCCCCCGGTGACTCGTTAGAGCTTAATGTACACTTTAGTTCAACCTTATTCAGAGTAATAGCCCAAGCCCCCTACTGAAATACGCAACATAAAGAATGTTCTAAGTGCTCCACATCTCTGATTTTCTAAGTGTTACTCTATAGTACTCCCAAGCTTCAAATGTCATATAAAGAAACTCATATACTAGCATTTCCAACTAAATTAGACCACACAAACATAGCTACTGAAGATAATTTACAATTTTTTTTTTCATAATTTCATAAAGCATCAAAATATGCCCAAAAAACCCAATATTTCAGTTATCCAGTTTCCTCAGAATCCTAAAATAGAATAACAACATACACCCAGACTAAATTGAATTCAAAATTCAACAAAATCCACCAAATTTACAAATATTTTTCTGAATTTAGAATGATAACCGAAGAATTCCCTCCAAAAAAAAAAGAAAAAAAGCGCGTAATTGGCCCCCGCAAAGTATCGAGTTTACCTGTATTTTTGGTTATTGTGGGCGCGATTTTCGGCTTGGTACTTTGTCTTGCAAGTATCGAGAGGATACAAAATTGTGGTGCTTACCAATGATCCAACTGCACCTGACGTTGCCTCAACTAAAGATTCCATATCCAAAAAACTTTAATCTTTTCACATACAACAATAAAAGATACCCATAGACAGTATGCCGTAATGCAAGTATAGGTATCGAGAGTGAAGGTTTAGGTTCCGGGTGGGGTGACAAAGGAGGTCGTCACTTCGGCTATCCCATGTTGAGAATGGGGAAGAATGGACCCTTTTATCTTCTGCAGAATGGGTGCGCGGGGGGCGGCGGGAGAGTATGGACTCAATGTCGGGTGCAACGTGGACCGTGGTCGCATATTCTAGGAAATTACGCTCAAATAAATTTTGTAAGATCCAATTTAAAAAATAAAATCTAATATTTATTTATACAAAAATCAGATATTTATTCAAATATTATAAATAAATATATAATATTATTATATACACACACCCCTTACCCTATCTATCCCAATCGAGTGAATTACCTATATAGTCTCCGAACTTTCACAAAAAGTTTCCACCGGATCACTGAACTTAAAAAATCGCCTCACTCATCACCAAACTTTGCCATTTGTTATACCCTTCATCACTCAGCTCACAACCGTTACAAATTTGGATGAAATATTGACTTACCTGATGATATGGCGCTACAAATTGAAAATGTGGATGCCAAACAAGATAAGTGCTTAAAAAATAATAATAAATAAATAAATAAACTGAAAGAACCAACCCCAAAACTCGACACCCATCCCCATTTCCCCCGAACTAAGAAGAGCCCTAACCTCTCTTCTTTTCAAATCCAACAACCCCGTCCCCAAGATTATCAGGCGACCGCAATATTCCGTTATCTATCGTTCGTCGCTTGCCGAATGTAGCCCAACCATAGCTCGAGGAACACGATTGTTGCACCGTGAGTCGCGATTACTACCTTCTAAAATTTGTGCGTTCGAAGCTATGGAGACGTCGTCTGATTCCGTACATCACGTTGGCACGACTTTATGTTATTGTGGAGACTTCTCCGTTCTGAACACATTGTGGACCGAAGACAATCTAGGAAGACGCTTTTGGGGATGCATCAACTACGGGACTTCAAAGGGTTGCAAATTTTTTGAATGGTTAGATGATCATGTGCCTTCAAGATAGAAAATTGTAATCTTGGGGTTGCTACGTAATAAAAAGAGACGGGAAGCTGAGATAAATGCTCTGCGTTTGGATGTGCGAAATGTTAAAAATGAGGGTACTGAAGTTGAACAGAAGGGTCGAGAGCTACGAATTATATGTGATCTTTATACTGAAGTTGAGACCCTGAGTCAGGATAAGAGGTTCTACCGCAATTGTTTTTATATGTTGCTGATGTTTGTAGTAATATATTTCATTTTGTAAGTGCTGCTTCAAATGGAATTAGGGATGCAGTGGAGGTGTAATGTTGATGGGGGAAGTGATTGGAGGAATAAGGGAAATGCGATGGATGTGAAGCCGGGTTTTAGTGATTGTGGATGTATTCCTTTCGTTGTTGTCAGTATTTATGTAAATTGTGCTTTCTCTACCATGATGTTTATGTCCATTGCAATAAATCCAATTTGATGTTATTATTGTTGATGTTTTAGTGGATGCAGATGTTTTTCTTTTGTTGCTATCAGTGTTTGTGTACATTTTTATCAATATGGATTCCATTTAATAGTGGTGATCAAAATATATTTATTAGACAAAATATACAACCAATGGTAGCACTATGCCGGAGGCTACCTGCATTAACCATTTATTGTCTGCACTTTAAAAACCTGCTACAAACATAACCTCCCTACACACAAATGTACAAAAACCATTGACATTACACGACCGGCTGCTGGCACTAACCATAAGTACCAAAAAAAAAAAAAAAAACTACTTTGTTGTTCTATAGGCTGCATGGAGTAAACAAAAAACACTTCATTGCAGGCCCCACTGATTCTCATAGATGGCTACATTTCAGGACCACAAAAAACCATGCTCAAACTCAGAATTTTTCAACTCTTTTCAAGTGCTTGATGCTTTTGAAATGTGTATAAAAATTAGTCTCATGTGGGTAAGGAATGATATGATAAGACCAGACTCCATGACTGACAAAAAAAATCAATAATTGTTAGTACCTCAACACCACTTTCGCAAGTGTCAGTTGTTGTGGAAGACTTCACATTATGGTAACATTTGTTGTGTCCCTTCCCACCGCACAACGAACATCTCATGAACACTCTCACCTTCTTAGGTAAACACCCTTGTGACTGTGATGTGACTAGGAAGCTTCTATTTCTTCAGGTCCCTTTCGTCTTTTCCTTTTTTTTCTCTCTCTCTTTAGTAGCTTGGTACCATGGTGGGGGAAGCACAATAACTTCTCTAATTTCAGGCGACAAATCTTTCCCATTGATGGGATTTATAACATTTTCATATGCTATCATGTACCTTTGAACTAAAAACCATTCCGAAACGTAGTCTTGTACGCCATGAACTTTATGCAAGATGCATGCGATCTCATGTGGGCATGGAATCCTAGAAATTTGCCATCTTCTACATGTGCAAGTTCGATTCTCTATATCAACTACAAATTCCCCATATGAACACTCAACTTGATATTGATGTGCCCCATTCCATCGCAAAATACATTCATGGGAGGCATCGATGAATTTCTCAATTTTCTTTTGTATCTTGGGACATACAAGCTTGTTATAGTTTCTTAGCTTATCTCACTTCACTTGAATTCGATGCATCAATTTATTTTAAATCCCAATCACCATTGTTAGTAGGGAATTCTCTCTTTCTTCCAAAATGAATTTGTTGAAGCACTTATAGAGGTTATTTAGAAGCATGTCACAGTTCGATTGAAACGAGAAGTGAGATCTACTCCACTCATTCGGTGATTTACTCATCAACCATCCATGTGTCCCCTCGCCAGCACCTTCAATCTTCGCCATCCAATACTTGAATGATCCTAAGTGACTCGACTTTGTTGCACTTTACAAAAAATCCTTCAACTGCTTACCCTTGAAGCCTGCAGCAAAGAAATTCTGATACATATGCCTAACACAAAACCTGTGTTATGCTTTCGAAAACAAATCTGCCACAACATTGACTAGCCCTTTGTGTCGATCAGTCATGATTGTCACAGAAATCCAATTCTCCATTGCTAGATCCTTGGACAACAACATCAAAAATCATTGACAAGTGTGTTTTTACACACTTATTTAGGTCACAAACATGACTTAAATATGAGCAAAATGATTGAATTGTGACTTAATCTTGTACAATTGTGAATTGTAGGAAACAACGATGAACAGGATGAAATTCAGGAGAAAAAAAGGACTAAAGTGACGCAAAGTGAAAGTTCATGGACCAAAAGTGCAAATATCCAGAAGTTGATCCGATGAACAAATCGAGAAATCAATTAGGCCAATTGCCAAATTGATGATTTCGTGGGGTGATGAAATGAAAAGAATGAAGAGAAGGTGCTAAGAAGTGAAGGATGCAAGTTGGAGGACCAAAACGCAATTTCTCCATAATAGAAATATACCTCTATGCCTTGTATGAATCAATTGATATTTGTGATTTATAATGCATGTCGGTATATTAGTATTCGTCATAAAAATATAGTCGAATCATATATTGGGATAGGTTTGGCATTGCTCGAGAGAGATTGCTAAATTAAAATAGGAATATCGATTCATCTTTTGTGGAATTGTGTGTCAAATTTGCATAAATAATTATTGAACGAGTATTGTTTGGGGATTTGTGATCCTAGTGAGTTAGAACATTCATTAATTCTATAAAATTTTAGTTAAATTGCATCCGAGTTACTTTGAACTTAGTATAATCCTTAGTCAATAATTGCATCAACGATTACATTTTGTTAGTTAAATTACAAGAACGCAAATTGCTTGTCGTGTTTCGATTAAAGTCATATTAGATTAATTTGAACTAACTCAATCTTCGTGGGATCGATACTTGGACTTATAGTCCATTTTACTACTTGTTAACGAATTGTACACTTGCGGTGGGTTTTGATTCGAAACAAATAATTTTGCGAACAAGTTTTTGGCGCCGTTGCCGGGGAATGAAATTTATTTCTAATTTTATCTTTTGTGACACTAATTCGAACTTATCTAGATTAGTAGTAGTTCGTTTACTAGGTTTAGTTTATTAATACTTCAATTTAATTCTGTATTGATTTTGAAATCGCAGGGCTTATATACAAGGAGCACCTGATTAAGATTTGGTTCCCATAGACCCAGAGATCGAACGCACTTTCCGTCATAGGCAAAGAGAAGTAAGAGCGGCACAACAATGGCTAACGAGCAAAATCGACCGGCAATTCCACTCAATGAAGGCATGGCAGTTGAAGATGATGGGAATACAGTACTTGGGGACTTCATGGCTCCGTTGGTGGTCCAAAGTCAATCTAGCATTGTGTATCCTCCATTTGGGCAACCGAACTTCCAGCTGAAAATAAATGTGATTCAATTGTTTCAGAATGGGCATCAATACCACGGGATGGCTAGCGAAAACCCACATACACACATATCCCGATTTCTGGATATGTGCCACCACTTCAGGTATTAGGGTATCTCGGACGATGCTATAAGACTGTGGTTATTTCCACACACCTTGCGGGATAAGGCACTTGAATGGCTAGATTTGCTCCCCGTTGCAAGCATCACCACTTGGAACGAGCTAGCCCACAAATTCTGCACCAAGTTCTTCTCGCCAACAAAGGTAGCAAAAATGCGGCATGATATCTCGATTTTCAACCAAGGTGAGTCCGAATCATTTGAAGAGGCATGGAATCGTTTCAAGAATATGTTAAGGAAGTGCCCGCAACATGGTTTTGACAAGAAGACACAAATCCAATTTTTCGACACTGGACTACTTCCATCCTTCAAGAGCATGGTTGATTCCTCATCTGACGGGTCTATCTCCATGCGAACAATTGATGAAGCATGGGAGCTATTTGAGAGAATGGCAACAACTTCAGCCATGTGGTCTACAGATCGAGTGGTTCAGAAGAGATCGCCAGGGGTTTATGAAGTAGATACTTATTCTGCACTATCTGCAAAAATAGACTCTTTGTTCCATAACGTTGAGAGTATTTCACAGACCGCCACTGCTAAACAAGTCAAGAAGCCGAGTTGTGAAGAATGTGGAGTAGACCACAATACTGTTAATTGTCCAATTCTCGCACAAGGGGTCGAACATGCATATTTTGTGCAATGGGGTCAACGCCAACAAAACAACCCACATTCGAAAACCTTCAATCAGGGCTGGAGAAAATATC